GTTTGTTCATAATATATCATTTCAATGGCTTGAATGATTTTTTTACCAAAGCCCATTTGTTCCAATTGTAATAACATAAATTGCCAACTCACATTGTCAAAAGCTTTTTGTTCATCTAGAAACATCAAAGCCATTTCCTTCTCAGGATGTGCCTTGTAGTATTCCAGAGTATCCAAAATAATTCTCACATTGTCTTTGATTTGTCTCTTTGGCAGGAATCCATTTTGATCAATATGGATAAAGTTATTTAAATATCTTTTTAGTCTTTCTGCCAAGATTGAAGCAAATATTTTATAGTCTGAATTTAATAGGGATATAGGTCTGTAATTTTTAACTTGCTGCAGGTCTGTATCCTCCTTCGGTATAAGTGTAATGTATGCTTCTGTCCATGTTTTGGGTAGTTTTTCTTCAACATAACTTCATTCATAACTTCTAAAAGATGAAGATTCAATATTTCCTGAAAAGTCTTGTAAAATTCCACTGGCAAACCATCTGGACCTGGTGCTTTTCCAACATTCTGTTTTTTTTAAACCTTCTGTTAATTCCATCATTGTTATATTCCCTTCTAACATTGTTTCAATATCTTTAGGTATCTGAGGTAAGCTCGCTTTCTGTAAATATTGCTTAACTTTTTCTTCTTGAATATTCTCTTGAAAATACAATTTCCCATAGTCATCTTGTATAATTTTTTTCTTCTTCTTATTTCCATAACATGGATGTCCTTCTTCATTTATTAGTTGGCTAATCCTTTTTGATTCTCTCTCCTTTCTCAATTTATAGGCTAGCCATCTGCCTGGTTTATTTGCATCTTCAAAGTAATTCTGCTTAGCTTTTTAAAAAAATTTGTGCTAGTTCCTCTTTTTCCATTAGTCCCATATTATGTTTAATTATATCCATTTTATTTTTAATGTATTTTTTGCGGGGACTTCTGTAGGTCTTTTTCCAATCTTTTATAATCATCCTCCAATGTTTTAAAAGTCTTTTTCTGTTTTATATTTCTTTTCCTTGTATCATCTATTATCAAGCCTCTTGTGTAGGCCTTCATCGTGACCCAGAGATTCTGTAGAGATGTATCCTCTTTTCTATTTTCTTTAAATAAGAAAGCAAGTTCTTTCTCAATTTTCTGTTTAAAGTCTTTTTCTTTTACTATCGTATTATTTAAGGTCCATCTAGATCTCCTCTTGTATCCTCTCCAAGTAACTGTCACTGGGTTATGATCTGCCCAAGTTCTTGTTTCCATTTCAATTTCTCATATGTTATGTTAGCCAATAGTTCTGCTGACATCCATATCATGTCTATTCTAGACCATGAAGCATGTCTATTTGAGTAAAAGGTGTATTGCTTACTCTCCACGTTTCTCTCTCTCCAAGCATCTTTTAAGTGGAATTCTTCTGTTATTTGAAAAAAGGATTTTGGTAATATCTTTCTAGCTTTCTTTGTTGATTTCTGCATTTTGTAATCCAACCGATCATTAACTATTCTCTCATTATACAAATATTAACATAGTCCAATTCAATTATTTTCATATGTAATTTCTTGTAAAATTCCTCTTGGTTATCATTCGGAGCATAAATTGCAATTAAAAGTGTTTTAACATTATTGTCCATTATTTCCACCATCAAAATCCTTCCGTCATCATCTGTGTAAATTAGTTCTGGCAAAATTATATCTTTAATGTACAATACCACACCCCTTTTTTTAGATTGTGCCAGCAATGTAAATAATTTCCCTAATTTTTTTTGTTTAAGTATATATTCATGTTTTTAATATGTACTTCTTGTAAGCAAATTATATCAAATTTCAATTTCTCTAGTTTATGAAATACTTTCCTTCTTTTAGTAGCCAAATTAAGCCCATTTGTGTTAATCGTAATCAATTTTCTTTCATCCATGTTAGGCTTTGTGAGAGCGTTTTATTGCTCTAGTAGGTCTTAATTCTCATTGCTCTCTGGGTACACCACCTACTGCACCTTTTTTTCTCTTTTTCAATTAGTGCTATACATTTCTCTTGGAATTCGATTAGTGACTCTTTCTTTCTAGCTTCTTCCTCTTTTCCTCTGAAATATTCTAAGTAGAATAGCTCAGTTTTTTCAACTGTGTCAATTCTGTGTCTTTGTTCCTGCAAGGTGAACAAGAGGCCTTCTGGCATCAGCCATCTGTAATTTACTCCTCTTTTAAGTAACTCTTCGGTCAAAAATAAATATTCTCTCCTCATCTCTCTTACTCTTCTTGGTACCTGTTTCAGCACAATTTCTTTATCTTTGTACTTTAAAGTGTACAAAGATACTTTCCACCTGCAGTATCTGTGTCTTGATAATCTTTTTAGTGAATCTGATGTGAACTTCTCTTGGTAGTCTGTTTCTCATTGTGTATCTTGTATATACACAGAACACTTCATCCATCCCATCTATCATCTTCTCTTTGGCTATCTCTAATGCTTCTACCAGTATTTCTGTCATTATTTCAGCAAGATTTTCACCTTTTCCTTCTTCTACATTTTAAAATCTTAGGTACAATTCTGATCTGTCAATTTCCCATCCTAATGGTTCACATCTGCCCTTCTTGATATCACTCAATCGAGTATCAATATATCCAATTTTCTTGCCCTTTGTGTATCTTCTTCAATTTTTTAAAATCTATCTTCATATTGCATCATCATCTGTTGAATATTTTCTACTTTCTCATCTGTCTTTTCAATTCTTTGCTCAATATTCTCCATTCTCTTTTCAATCTTCTGGATTCCTTGCCAAATCATCTGTAAGTCACTTCCTTCTCTTTCTCCTGTGATAAGATTGTCTGTATTGACCGTTGTCCTCCAGATGGTGAAGAGGCTATTGGTATTGAGGAAGCTGGTGCTTTTGTCTTTCTGCTCATCTTGTGCTTACCTTTAGAGAGGAAGAGAGAAAAAGGAAAAAACAAAAAACAAAAAAAGGAGTACAGACAGGCAGTTGCCACTCCAAAAAAAGAGGGGGAGGGTTCAGGCACTTATGTACCTTAATCCAATTATTTCTCTTAATAAAAAAGAGAAAAGGAAGAGGATAAAAAAAGTAAAAAAAAAAAATTACGTTCTAGTTTCTGGAATAGAAGGTTAAAACCCAAACATAAAAATCCAAACTGGGGGGGAGTAGAAAAGGAAATGGAAAATAATCTAGAGTTTAGCCAGCTGCTGCCACTAAGTATCCAAGGCTCTTTAATAAATCAAACTCAATGTTTTTGGTTCTGGTATTTTCAAGGTCACTTCAATCTTCTTTCTTCCAACTTCAGCTCAAAGCTCTAATTATTTAGTTTCATAGATGAGCACCTGTATAAACAATCTACCATGCTTATCCCTCTAACTTTTCCATTGCAAAGCTCAGAGTACTTGAGTATAGCAAGTACATAAACAAACAGAGAAAGAAAAAAAAATATGTCCAAGCCTCTAAATGGCAGTGCTACTTTTTCCCCCTTCACTTTCACTCCCCCCTCTTGTATCCAATACCAGAAACAAAAAGAGAAAATGGAATCCTTCCTTTTTTTTTTTTTTTTTTAAAAAAAAATACAACTCAAATCCAAAAGAAGAGTCTTAATCAAAACAGACTTTCAAAAAATTATTTTAAAAAAATAAAAATAAAAACAAGGATGAAAATTTAAAAGAAACCAGTCCAGTTTAAAGTTCAGTAACTTTACCAAACTCAAAGTTCCAATAAAAGGGGAAGAGAAAAAAACTTTCACTTTAACTAGTTTAATTTCACTGCTTAAACTCTTTCCTCTTCACTTTCAATTTCACTTTAAATCTTTCAGGATATTCTCTTCAAGTAATAAGAAGTAAAAGTTCATTTCACCAAGCTGACACGCTTTCCTTCAATCTCTTCTGTTCTGGAGCTCTCTCAGCTTCAGCAGCTTGAATGGCTGCCTCTCCGCTGCCGGCAAAAGGGCTTTTCCTGGATCAACCAGGGATTTTGCGATGTCCCTGGGATCGACAGGATGTGCCCTCCTCAGTCACCATCTCTACGAGACGGTTATGTCTGGTGGGACTGTCCTGCTTCAAGATCGCACGCTGTACTGCTGAGATGCCAGCTCCGCCCCCCGTAGCAGAAATTTTGAGTAGTTTGGAGAGCCGGCAATGTGATTCAATGGGGGCCTTACTTCCTCAAATAGTGTTACAGATCTGGACTGCAATAATACTGATAACCTCTAGATATCAGCAAAACTATTAAAAAAGAACTCAACTGACTGCTTATAACTACTATCTGAATTTTTGTCAAAAATTCAGAAATAACTTGAAGATGATTCATAATAGTCTTCCCTTTTGTCACTCTAAAAATGTTGACAAGGGGGAAAAAGTTCTCATCTTGCCCCTAAGATTATGCAAAATCATCAGCAACAAAAATCTATTTTAAAACCTCACAAAAATAAATCTTAAAAAGGAAAAGAAAATACAAGCCAAAACAAAATTTTCATAATAATCTTTCATGATTGTCAAGCCTTAAAGCAGTCATTCCTCTTACCTGAAGCTACATTGTTTAAATATATATAACTATAAATAACTAAACATGACTTTCAACTACACTATCAGACTATCCAGCACTGCTGACATCATGGGAACAGAGAAAATTGGGATTTTTATTGAAGGGATAAAGATATACTAGTTTTACCCACGTTGAGAAACTGCTGATAATTTCATATCAACAAAATCACAAAATGCTTTCAACGTGACTTTCTGATAATATAAATATCAAAGTACTTATGCATTTTGAAAACAGAGAATTCACTGTCAAGGGAGAGCCTGTCAACAGCAATTTACACAATGCTGCAAACAACATGGACAGCACAGTCTACTCCAAAGGTGTGCATAAAAGTAAATGACAACAACAAAAAGGATTTTATTTGGAGCATGGAATTAGCATACTATAGCTTGAAAGTTTGGTTGGCCATTCCAGAGATGTTTCAATATAACTGAATTAAAACCTGAAATATTTTAGTATTGATCCAGATGAGTTTGGAGTAGTTTAATTAAATTAGGAAAGTAGGTCTGGTGAATCTTACTCCTCTTCCCTCTCGTCTGCATGACCAGTGTATAGCTTTCCTGATCACTTTCCTAACCTTTCTTAAGCAGCATGAAGCACATAAAGCATGGCAAACTTAACTGGATATCTGATTATTTCCCAGATCTTGCTACATTTACCATACCCTTGCCTTTCCCTGCTGTTGCCACTGTCAGCCTTTAGTATCTGATTCTAAATCCACCCAATCCTTCAATTCCATGAGACAAAACAGGTCTATTACTGATTATGTAGTTATCTAGAATGTGTCTGACTTGAAGGGAATTGTTTGCTATGGAAATTAAAACTGAAAAAGAAAATGTGCTCCAGTAAAAGCTTAAATCATTTAGGCAATATACATGTATATTACACTGCTGTTGAGTTCTCTGAAATGAAATCTGGAGTTGTGAGGTGATGCCCCTTTATTATACTATGGCCTTACTCTTTTTCTAGTGGGCACCACATTCATGGTTAATTAAGTAAGGTATTGAGTTAGCACTTTCTCATTGTCCATTATCAAATTGTCACTTCCTAAATAAATGGCTTCCAAAATAAATTGGCATCTTTTCATTTTAATGAATGTTGCAATTTGAACAATAACTATCTTCTGGAAATTTAATAAAATAACCATTGCGATAGGAAAGTAATTTTCTGTATACAATAAACTATAAAATGGAAAGTGCTTTTATTTTATTTCAAAACAAACAAAATTGTAGTCTTGCATGATTTATCAGATTCCTTAACCATGACCTTGCAGGATGTTATATCTTCATATACTTCAGATAGCTTTTAAATGTAAAGCCCAGAATGGAAATCAGTAACAAAAGAATATGCCTGATTGAAAAGATGAAGGACAATAGATGTAACACTTGATGTAAAATCTTCAGTAAGTAAAGTAGTAATTGTGAAATGGATTGACTACTTTTATTTCTTTTTTAGTTTAAAAAAAATCAAAGGGACAGGAATTGGATTGTATAACAAGGCTTGACTCTAGGAAGTTTGATCCTGCCAGAAGTGACAATTGACTGGAGAAGAAAAGACTGGAATAAAATAAGTATGGAAAGTATTTCCCATCTATAGAGGAGCTGTGGAACTTTATGCAGGAACAAATATAACTAAGAGGCAAATATAACAATTGCTAATCCGAATAAGCAGGCCAGGCATATAGTAGTGCTTGCATAGAACAAAATAAAGTAAACTCTTGTTATTTTGAGTCTCTTTCTCTCTTTAGTTTCTCTCAGATATTCTTGGGACAAAAGCAGCTTTAGGAATTAGAAAACAACAACAACAAATATTACAGAGGTTTGGCTCCTAAAGAAATAAGCACACTTAAGAGAAGCTCATAGAAAGGAATACAGTGTGTGAATACTTACATGCTCAATGTACTTTCTAAGTATTAGAAATTTGTATGGGCATATTTATGACCATTTGAATAGCAGAAATAAGTTTTAATATCAAACAAAATTAGATTTATTGTATAAAATTATACATGTCACTTCTTAAGTTGTTTATAAAACCTTTAATAAAAGCTTTACTTGCATCCCAACTGTTCATTCTCTTAACTATTTTTTAATCCTTTAATTCCTTGTTATAATTCCTTGTTATATATAATCTTTGTGTGCCCTTAATACTTTCATTTCAACTGGCATTCCATATTAGTATTGCAGTCAACATCTCTATAGTTACAATTCTACATCACAGTCTCACTCCTATTAACCTCATCTTTTGTTTTCTAAAATATACAAATTTTCTGTACTCTTTAATAGTAAACAAACAAACAAAACATTCCCAGAAAGGTCTAGTTCATTTGCCTAATTTAATTCCAATTTGTTTAAAACCATGTCATTAAAAAAAAGCTTACAAAATAATTACCTTTATCCAGGGGTGGGATTCAAATTTTTTAACAACCGGCTCTGTGGGCGTGGCTTAGGTGGTAGGTGTGGCTTGGTGGTCATGTGATTGGGTGGACATAGCTTGGTGGTCATGTTATTGGCTGGGTGTGGCCAACTCAATATCACTCACATCTAGGCACCCATCTCCTCTCCTGGCCTCTCATGACTGTGGGAATGCTGCAACAGTCGTAAGTGTGAAAAATGGTCATAAGTCACTTTTTTCAGTGCCATTGTAACTTTGAATGGTCACTCCATACAAGCAAAGTACCAGCAAAGGAGGGGGGAAAAAAACTCCAGAGAAATTCCTGAGACAGGAAGTCTAGTCCTGCCAAGAATGTAATAAGGTTTAACGGAGAGGCAGTTTCTGTAAACAGCACCAGACTGTTTCCTTCCTGCCTTCCTTGCAGGATTAGGCCAGTAATTTCTTCTAACAACTGGTTCTCTAAACTGCTTAGAGTGTTAACAACCGGTTCTAGCGAATAGTTTTTTATAGTGACTCCTTGTTATAGTTTTTTGCCAAAAGTTTTGAAATCTTTAATACTTTTTATTCCTTTATAATTGAGAAAAAATAATTCACCAAGCAAAAATTTTATCCTGCTGTTCACAAAGTTTTCTCTTTAGGTGTAAATTAATTACATCTGCAAGTGGTTAAGAAGTTAAGTTCTTGTGAACTTTATTCAAATAGGCCACATTATTTCTGTGAACTTCATTGACTCCCAGATGCTCAACTTACATGCTTATTGCAAAAATCTCAGTTCCTCTGGTCTACTTACAAGGACCAGCTGCTTGAACTATAAGTGGACAATCTCACAAGCTCTCCTTTTTCTGGAGAGGCTGCACGAGAAAGAATTAATCCTCCAGCAGCTGATCTCCTGTCATCACCTGTCCTGTAGGTATATCTTGTGGATGATGAATCCTTACCATAAGTTTTATTTAATAATAATGTAAAAACATGTTATTTTGGTTGAAACAGTTATAGAAAATGAAAGAGAAAAGAAGATTTTTAAACAAAAAGGCAGAGAAGATAAATACTACTCACAAATTAAGGTTTTACTACAACACATACGTTAACAGTAAGTGAAATGGAAATAAATAAATGGAACTATGAAAAGCCCAAAAAATGAGTAAATAAACCCTAATTAGAAAAGTGGCTAAAGAAAAAGAAAAAAAATGATGTTGAATTTGCAAGAGGGAGATTTTGTTTTATTTGTTTATTTATAACCTGCCATTATTATTATTATTATTATTATTATTATTATTATTATTATTATT